GCTGTTCTTGTTTGGCCACGCTGAAATCGGCTGAATGCTCTGAAAGAATCGATGCCATCCTTTGCGAAACCTTTGTTTCAGTTTTTAATTTCCTCAACACCTAGTTTATAACTCAAAACATAGATCAGTATTTTCGAGGCTCTATAGATGCAGGCTGAAATTTGATACGGATATTTTGGTCGAAGTCTATTAATCACTGTGGGATAACCGCGCACTGTTCATAAGCTGTCAATAGATGGGCAGTTGTATAATTCGCCTATTTACTATACCGTTAGCACGGGTACGAGGTAAAAGCCCCCAACACGTGTATTTTGCAACCATCATGCATACTACCAGCTGCCAGTCGGCACTTTAATGAGTATTACGTGATTATCCCGCAGTGACTGATGGACTATGACCTAAATATTCATATAAACTTTCATTTTACGCCCATCTACCCTCGATTATAGTGATCTACTGAGGAAAAGAGCGGCAATTTCAAACCTGGTATATCTACTAGAAAGTACACTGATTAGTCGAACCTTTGCCGCAACTGTGTCGTGCAGCGGCAGAATATCGGCAAAATACGTGCCTGGGTTTTTAGCTTCTATCTATGCTGTCATTATGGTAAATAATTACGCCGGGCATTGCTTCTCTTTTTAAAAATTTTGTGAGATATGTGAAGGGTAAGCTAATAAAAGTGCACTTATGATATGGAGGGTAAGGAGGGGGGAGCGAAGAGCCTTCCTCAGTTTCTTTCTCTTCCTCTTGTAGTTGGGCTACATGTGCGATTTCATTCTGCGCTCCTCCCATCGATCGCCAATTCTGGCACATCAACTTCTGTGGAACATGCGAACTAACAGCTTCACTGATGAGGAGGGCAATGAGCGTGACCTCGAGGTGGGCCCCCAGCTTGAGTGGATGTCCGACCAAGTGGCCAAGGGATTCACTGGTCCCGCTCTAGAATTCTACAAACGCGAATTCGCCTTCTTCGACCAGATTACGGCCGTCTCTGGCGAAATACGGTAAGACCTCGTTTTTTCGCCCCTGCTCGGTTATTCTCAATCGTCAGACATATTTTCCATTCCTTCGGGGCGAAGGATGTCTTTGTAGAGCTGCGGCACGCTTTAAGATAACCGTTTTCGATCTTTAATGGAGCCACTCCTTTGCTGATCGTTTATCCTACCTCGTGATTTGATGGCACTTCTCGGTAATTTATAACTATCCATTTGCCTAGTCCTGTATGTTTTGTCAGTCATTTCTTGCCGCAGTGACCCGATGTCGTGCAAAACCGTGCACATCTCGTGACATCATGGGACGAACGGTTGTATCCGTTATTTCTGACCGTAGCGCAGACTAGTCTGCACCGCTTGTTGAATACCCATTTCCCCGATTAAAAGGATAACGCCCTAGAAGCCGCCCTCTCCGTCTTACGGTTATGTGGCTCCTCGGACTGCATTAAGGCGGGTAACGTCAATGACCATCATAGACCCAAGGAGCCAATGTTGACTCTCATCTACCCCAGTCCTCACTACTGCTGTCATGCAATTACTTTGTACCCGCTGAATCAAAACGGTGGAAATTAAAGTCGGTGCAGAAGGGCGTTGACAAACGCCAAAAGTCACTTTAGTTTCGTGTGCTTTTTTGCAGCAGCAGCTTGAAAAGACATTCAATTTGCTGATTGA